GGATGGTCTCGATTTCTTGACCTCGTGATCCACCCGCCTGGGCCTCCCAAAGTGCTGGGATTACAGGCTTGAGCCACCACGCCCGGCCGATGGTTTGCTTTTGTTAAGATTTTCCTTGTTCCTGGTACGTGAGTTTCAGTATTGTAAGACTCAGGTTTTTATTTAAATCCGTTTTTGGCAGAGATGGAACACTGCCAAGAAAAAGCAGCCACTCACTTCCGCCAGGTCAGAGTGGAGTCCAGGTTCCCTACGTGGTTTCCACAGACACCCCAGAACAGGGAAGGGTGCCTCATTACTGCTGGGCATGGGTGGAGGCACGTCCACACTGGGCCTCTGGCTGGCACCCCCCTGGCTGCCCACCTGGCCTGATGGGGGAGGAGCTTCCCATTCAACAGGTGATAGGGACAGCAGGTACCTCTGTACAGTGGGTGAGGGTGGGAATGCAGGCTCCCATTTGATTTGATGATGGAGTTGGGGTCTTTTTCATGGTGTTTGGCTAGAGAATTTTTTTTTTTTTTTGAGACAGTTTCTCACTGTCACCCAGGCTGGAGTGCAGTGGCATAATCTCAACTCACTGCAACCTCTGTTTCTTGGGCTTAAGCAATCCTCCTGCCTCAGCCTCCCAAGTAGCTGGGACTATAGTGTGCACCACCATGCTGGATTTTTTTTTTTGTATTTTCGGTAGAGATGGGGTTTCACTATACAGCCCAGGCTGGTCTCAAACTCCTGAGCTCAAACGATCTGCCTGCCTCAGCCTCCCAAGTTGCTGGGATTACAGACATGAGTCACCATGCCTGGCCAGATATTGCTATTTACAAGTTTTCTTTCTCACTAGGCTGTCCCTTTCCTAGTTCTTCGCAAGAGCGGACAGGCTCTTGTTGAGGTGGGTGTGTGTGTGTGTGTGTGTGCGTGTGTGTGTCTGAGCCCACTGGTGGTTCCAGGTTGCTGGCTTCTCAAGTGCCCAGCCCAGGATAGGAGGGACAAAAAAGGAACACCAGGGCATTCACCACCACGTTGCTCCTCAGATCCCAAGATCAGTAGCTGATCCTCCTTCTTTTCTCTACTTTTCAGAGGCTCTCTCTGTTTGCGTCTATATAAAGTCCATGGTTTTCAGCTGTGCTTAGCAGGAGACATAGGAAGTGCATCTATACTACCTCGTCTGGAACCACGAACCTGTTCCCATCCATGACAAAAAGTCTCAACAAACGAGGTACAAAAGGGGAACTTCTTCAGCCTGAGAAAGGGCATCCACAAAAACTCACAGCTAGCGTCACACGTCATGGTGAAAGACCGACTGCTTTCCACCTAAACCAGGGAACCAGGCAAGGATGGCCGCTCTCACTGCCTCAGCTGTGTACCAGAGGTTGACCAAGACAATTAGGCAAGACAAAAAACTGTAAGGTACAGAGATTTGAAAGAAAGACGTCAAACTGTCCCTATTCATAGATGATATGACATCAAATTCAACTGTATCTCTAAATATTGGCAATTAAAAAACCAAAAATCAAAGAAAACAATTCCACCCAAAACAGCATCAACAATAAAAGTGCTTAAAATTAACTTAACAAAAATATAAGACTGGTACACTTAAAACTACAAATCGCTGAAAGAAATTAAAGATCAACATAATGGTACTAGAACAATTGGCTATCCATAAGCAAAAAAAAAAAAGTTAGACCCTTACCTCACACAAAAAATAACTCAAAATGGATCACAGACCTAAACGTGAGAACTAAAACTGCAAACATTATATAAGAAAATGCGGAGCGCGGTGGCTCTCGCCTGTAATCCCAGCACTTTGGGAGGCCGAGGCGCGTGTTTTGCTTGAGGCCAGGCATTGAGACCAGCCTGGGCGACATGACGAAACCCTGTCAGTAATAAGATTACAAAAATTGGCCGGGTGTGATGGGGCCTGCCTCTAATCCCAGCTACTTGGGAGATTGAGGCACAAGGATTGCTTGAACCTGGGAAGTGGAGGTTGCAGTGAGCCAAGATCTCACCACTGCACTCCAGC